TAAAGTTGTGCAAGCTCCTGTTATATGTTGAATGGTTTCAGGCTTATTAAGACATTTATTATTATTATTATATTGGGGGGATATTCATTTGTTTTCTCGTCTGGTTGGGTTTATAAATAATAAATAAAAATAAAGATATAGATATATATTGCATATATAAAATAAATATTATGGATAAAAATAAACATATATATATATATATATATATATATATATATATATATATATATATATATATATAAAAATAAATATTTTATATAATACATATATAAATAGGACCCAACCAGACGGAAGCCCTCGGCAGGGGAGACCAAACGGCCGAGGGTTAGGGCGAAAGGGAGAGAAACCGGCGGACGATGCGGGCGGTATCGAGGAGCACCGCCTTCTGCATTTGAGCCTGGAGCGATCCGTCCCGGAGTTCCAGTCGCCTCAGATGTTTAGAGAGGCTGACTGGGATCAACCCATTCGCAGACACGACTATCGGGATAATTTCGGTCGGCACACCACCCCACATGTCGGTCACCTCGTGAGCCAGGTCCAGATACTTCGTCTTCTTATCTGTTTCGGCTTTCACGAGGTTCTCGTCATATGGAATGGTAATGTCGACCAAAAATACCCGCGACTGTGCCCGGTCCATCAACACGATATCAGGTTTGTTCGCGACAATTGTCCTGTCTGTGATGATGGACCGGTCCCAATAGAGCCTGGCGCGGTCATTTTCGAGCACGGCCTCCGGAGAGTACTTATAATACGGCAGTTTCCGTTCCACGAGGCCGTATTTCAGAGCGAGCTCCTGGTGTCTATGCAGATACTCAGAGTTAGAAAGCATGGAAAAACCGGAGATAACATGCCGAAGCGACTCCCCGGGATGGCGACAAGCTCGACAGTTGTCGACGGTGCCATCCTTTAGGATGTATCTCCTATAGTTGTTCGTCTTAATAACCTGATCCTGTATCGCACAGACAAAACCTTCGGTTTCCCCAAAGAGGTCACCGAAACGTAGCCAGTTCAGGGAGGCAACAGTATCTACGAAAGGCTCGTGTAGAGCCTTGTAGAACCTCCCGTGGAGCTCTTTCTCCTTCCATACAGCCTCTCGGTCGGAAACGCTCAGTACTCCCGGGTCCTGCCATTGCTCGTTGGCTAAGGATAGAGGGGTAAGTCCTTTATCACAACTAATGACGTCCGTGTAGATTGACTCATCCGATCTCGCCAGAAAGTAGTTACGGAGGCTGCACACCTCGCGATTGTGCATGGTGAGGGCGCTTAAAAAGCCCCTCCCGCCATGCTTCCGCGGAAGGTACAGCCTCATCACTGACGATCTCGGATGATGCATTCTGTGGGACGTCATAGTTGTGCGGAATTTTCGGTCCAGGGCGTTGAGCTCAGTTTGAGTCCACCTGAGTATGCCAAAGGTATACATGAGGACTGGCATGACCCAGCCGTTAAAAGCACGTGCCTTGTTCCCGCCTGACAAATGGCTATTAAACACCTTTGTCAGGCGTGCAAAAAACACGTCACGAACTGACTGTTTCATGCCAGCCTCATCGATACACATATTTTGTGACATACCCAGGTATCGGTATGTTTCAGCCTCAGAGAGGGTCCTTATGTTAACGGGCATAGATAAGTCTATGCCCGCCGTATTAGTGACCTTACCCCTTTCGACATGAAGGACCGCACACTTATCCGTCCCGAGCTCCATTTTGATAGAATTGCTGAAATCACAAGTGACTTTAAGCAATTCCATCAAATGGGAGCGATTGGAGGCGAATAACTTGAGGTCATCCATGTAGAAAAGGTGGGTCACTTTTGCCCCTCCTCTCCGAAGCTGAAATCCTCCCCCTTAGCCCTCCAGTAACACGCTGAGAGGATTCAGGGAGAGGCAAAACCATATTGGACTCAAACAGTCGCCCTGGAAAATACCCCGTCGTATCCTTATCCGGTATTCCGCAGCCGTTATCCGCTCGCCTAGATGACAAAGGATCGTACTCCATTGCCCCATACAGTGCTCGAGGAAGTCTCTTACTGTACAGTCTACTTTGTACAGTTCGAGGACCCTCTTTAGCCATGTATGGGGCACCGAGTCGAATGCCTTTTTGTAGTCTATCCAGGCGGCGGAGAGGTTCCGACGGTTGCGTTTAACCATTTTACCAATGACCGCGTCGATGAGAAGCGGTTCCTTGGTTCCACGACCGCCGCCCCGACATCCATTCTGAGTACGAGACATAATCCGATTCACATTAATATGCCGGGTGATTCTCATACTCAGAATAGATGTCAGTGTCTTATAGATGGTAGGTAGACACGTAATGGGGCGGTACTTACTCGGGTCTGTGGTAACCTGATCTTTAGGAACCAAATGAGTGACCCCAGTAGTAAAGAGGCTCGGGAGCGACCTCTGATCGAGAGCCTCTTGGAACTGCCGGGCGAGCACAGCGTGACACACCACGAACCCCTTCAGCCAGTAGTAATGCAGCCCGTCGAGTCCCGGACTTTTCCAGTTCGGGGCTCTACGGACTGCCTCGGATACGTCGTCGGGTGTTATGACGACGGGGTCCATGGGTGTAATGTCTGCACATTGGCTCGCCACGACTTGTGTCCAAGGGCCCTCACTGTGGTCTACGGGCTCTGACCACAGGCTGCGCCAGAAGGCGACAGTGTCTGCCTGGTCCGGTCCTTGGCCCGTTCCACAACTCATTGGTCGCTCCAAAGATTTGTAGAGCCTCTTTTGGTCACTCTGGAAGAGGCGATTCTGGCTAAACCGCGCCGTCCTCTCGGAATATCTCCGAATCCGCTTCCCCCAAGCAGCGATCCTCTGCTTCAGGTCATCTATGCGCTCCGTTAGTTTTTGCGTAATGTCCGGCTGGGACAAGTTTATGTTGGTCCCAGCGAACGCCATCCTAACGGTGCGCACAATTCTGGGCCTATTATTGCCCGACCTGAAGCTTATCAGCCTGCCGATGATGGCCCTTACCTTTGCGATACGGTCCTCAATTCTGCTTCTCCATGCTGGGATAGTGCTACCTGGTCTGGTAGCACGTCCAGCCTTGGGAAGTTTGGCGCCAACGATTCGGCATACTGCCAGTGCAGCGCCAAAGAGAATTGAGTCCGTATCGCAAAGATCCCGGCTAGCTTCCAAATAGGTTGCCAGCATCGGGTTAAGAGACCTCACGACAGACCGACTCCGCTTACTTAGGGGTATGCGGGGGAGACGTGGTCGATTCTCGAGAGGCGTTTCGCGCACCTCCAGAATTGCCTCCTCCAATATGCTTCCCATCTGCTCTATTTCTTGGGCGACTATTCCATCATCGCACGAATCTACAGGAGCCGGGGGGTTAACCGCGGCCTCCGCATCTGCTTGTAACCCTGCAGGGTCCGCAGCTTGCAGGGCCGTATCCCCAGCCACTACATTCTCATCCGATGAGGGAACAGCTTCACGACGTAGTCGTTCGAGCTCGGTATCATCAAATATTTTTGAGCGCATGATGTACCGAACTCGGTCTGCCAGGTTTTGCTCGGTGACGGTTATAGATGGCTCCAGCTCAGCAAAAAAGCGATGCATCCTTGCCCGATACGCAAACCCTCCAGTCTCACTCCCTTTCGCCCTAAGATACGCCCGCATTGCGTTCCTATTCATATCTTCAGTCTAGCGCAAGCGGCGTATTCCACCAGCGGCGGGTGCCGATTGCTGGATCCGAGAGGATCCTGCCGACACCAAGCCAACTGGTGGGGATGATGGATGCGAGGTACTGCTTGGTGGTCGTGCAGTACCCCACGCTTGGCTGGCGTCCCGCATGCTGCCACGTCCAGCGCCAGCTCCAGACGCGCCCTGGCGGCCCCCAGGCAGCGGCCCTATGCGCTTTCCTTTTTTTTTCCATCGTCCATTTTTAGGGCGTCGTTTAACGGAAGACGCCCCCAGACCGGCACCGTTTTCTGTAGTGTGGCCGAACGCACAGACGGGCCTATGCACCCTCACTTATGCCGAGGCACGGTGCAAACACCTATTGGCAAGGCACTGACTGATTGCGCCGGCGCAACAGTTCTGTCACTTGAACTGTTACGCCGGTGGGCGATGGGGTCGTCACTTCCCTACGCCATATTATTATTATTATTATTGAAGATTTCAGTCTCCAGATATTCACAGATATTTGACAAGAAGATGCTGTGCCGTTGCAATAATGCGTCATTTATTTCTGAGATTACCAATGCTTCTGCTGGAAAAACAAGCCTCTGACGAAAATGTTACAATAATATATTATATGATCTAATTTTTTTTTTCACAGAAATTGTATCAACACTCACTGAGTAACTACCAATATATATTTCTGAATTTAGAGTTAGAGTAAATATATGAAATAGAATTAACATCTGAAAACGAGTTTGAGCCATTAATCCACATTGCTTGTTTTCACTTTTAGTAAATACACGTGACCTGACAATTAAAATAAGTGTCATTTTTTTGTACCATTGCAGAACGTACAATACTTAAAAAGTTATACATTGTTCTGGAATATTAGATTATATTAGAAATTCCAGAAATAATAGAAGCTGCTACGTGTTCTTACAACAAAAAACCTAATTGTACGGAATCTTAAGATAACCGTATACTTGCATTTATTATCGTGTAATAAAACAAGGCCAAACACTCAAACACTTTCGAATCGAAATTAATGATTTATTATTACTCCACTAACTGTGAACAAATAAAAATGTACTCTTACATACATACGTACGCATTTATAATTGTCTTTACCATTGTAGGATGTGTTAAATGTTAAACAGTCGGTATTTAACAATGCGTTCATTGAATAAGTATAACATTTTTGTGCCCTTTAATCCTATTTAGGTTAATGCTTTTGTTGCGTTCACTAATAATTACCCTACCGATAAACCTTGATCATTGAAACCATTGTTATATATTCAATGCCGATTTTGATTTATTTTGTGTTCTTTTGATTTCGCTTAACTTGGTTAGTATGAAATCGTGGTTACTTTTATAGGTGTCGTGTCTTGGGGCATCGGGTGCGGTCGTGCTGGGTATCCCGGCGTGTATACTCGAGTAACAAAGTATTTATACTGGATCAAGCACAACGCACGTCGAGGCTGCTTTTGCACTGATTAGGAAGACATATTTTACGAGCAATTTACTTATCTTCAACCTTGTATTGTATAGCGTATAAAGTATGTTCATTAGCAGAGATAAATGCTTTAGATTTATTTAAATTTTCTATTTTTTTTTACAGAAATACATGTTTATATTGACGTTTAATTTTAATGTTATTTCTCCTAATAACAAGCATACTTAGAAATTTACATTTTTAACAGTGCTAATTTCTGCACTTAAGATTTAACATTAAAATTTGTAGAATAATTACGAAAAGATTGTCGCCGCTGTGGGAATCGAACCCACGTTTTCGGCATTCGCGGCCTGGCGCTTTAGCCACTAAGCTAAACGCCAACTAACTAACGAATCTCAACGCACTAAATAATTTATGTTATTTTTTTTATCAACACAGGCCAATGCTTGACTTATACTCACCGGATGGTTGGTGGACGGACCGCTGCAAAATAATTAAAAATAATCGCCGATAAATCCGTAAAAATATTATCATTTAATAATAAATAACGAACATACTGAGAGCGATTTCACATACAAACTCCATTTTTAACAAAAACTTAAATGTACAATACAAATAATTCGATAGGAGCATTTAGGCCGTTGCGGTTTGTCGGGTGTTCTTTATCGCAGTGACTTTTATAACGTCATTTTCGTGGAAAAGGGGTAACCCTTGATCTTCGAGCGTGGCTCTCGGGGGGTCCGCCTTAGAACTATAGGTTGGGTTTAGTGGATGTACCGGACCGATGGCAGTAACTGCCGCCTTCGCGTCCTCGTTCCCCAATGCGTAGTGGGTTCCATCCCCAGTCCGAATTATTCTTTTCGCTATCTGAAATTGTAGATTTTTTTAATAGTATTTTTTCTAAACATTGCCCAATTATACGTAGACAAACATCCAGATCCGAAACAATTTTCTGTGGGTCCCACAAACAGTTGTCTTGTGTGGGAATCGAGCTTGTGACCCCCGGTGCGGAGACCATATTTTGACATCTACGTCACGGAGTCATCTTGTACATTGGATGTGTAACAGTTCAAAACAAAAACATAATCACAAATCTAAATATTCAAGTTTATTTTCTAAACTGAATTATTTTTAGAACTGTTTGCTTTCCGTTTCTACACAACATTACGTGTTCGGTTGTGGTAAATCCAAATCAAGGGTTCAAAAGTGACTTTTTCTAGCAAGAAATCCGAAGATGACTCCGTGGCGCAGTGGCCAAGGTATTGGCTTCGGCGTCGGGGGTCGTGGGTTCGATTCCAGACGGGACAATTATTTATGTGACCCACATATAGTTGTTTCGCATCTGGGTGTTTGTCCACGTAAAATCTATGTTTGTAAAACGTCCTTACAGCGCAGGACCTTACAATGTTATCCTAAAGAAAGGGCATTGCAAAAAAAAATAAAGAACATATTTTGGTATGTCCCAAAGACCATAAACACCGAATTTAAACGCCCACCCTCTATAGTGCCACCGCTATAGTGACACTTTAGTATTAAAAAAGTTTTTTTTTTCTTTAATAGCATTTCATTTCTTTAAAAAAAGGAACATGACTTCTAAGTGAAGGTGGGACCAACAGGGCAAAGTGTGTTACAAAGATTCGACCAAAGTTAACCACTGCCTTATTTTCTTTATTGCCTGTAATTTATATGATCTTCAAATAAATGCTTAAATGTACCATTTCCGGTGAGGTTGTCTTCAAGTCGTATGCCATACCAAGTTTTTCACAGATTCTTATAAGGGTTGCCGTTGGGTTGAAATGCATCGATTGCTCAGCCGCTTTATAGTCCCACGGAAACGTGTGGTGGTAATTGTGCCAGCCCTCGCCCATAGTAACTAAAGACACGAACCAAGACTCCACTGGCTGAAGATTTCTGTGGAAACCACAAAGTTTCAATCACCGATATGATGATCATTTCTTATATTTACGCGAAAACTGCACATCACCAAATCAAAACTATTTAAAAAGATTAATTTAGTTTATTTTTTATGTACGCGCGTGAGAAGTTATACTTCTTCGGCATCATTAAAAATAGTTTTTAATTGCATGCAAATAATAAATTACAATAAAATAATAAAAAGACTGGAAAAGGATATAAATAATATAAAATTATGAACGCGCCTTCTACATTGTTTATTGAGAACTTTTGCCATCTATAAAAAATAAGCGGTTTAGCGGGCAGCTTCAAAGGTGTTACTTTTGTGTTACGGTGATGCGCGCGCATCTTAAAATTTCACTCTCATCATTTTACATAATTAAAGAATTATAACTTTCAATAAATAAAATCAATAATCTATAAACTGGCGGTAGCCCAAGTTATCAGACATTCAGACGTCTAACGCTCTGTCTGTCTCGTAACGGTTAATCCTGCAAATGTTCGAAATTGTCAGGAATCAAAATAAAATAAAAATATAAATCCGAAACAAAATTTTCATTTAGTAATTGATACCATAGGAACTTATAATCCAATCTAGACAAGGCTATTTATAAAGTAGTTTAGAGTAGAATGTTTACTCACTTGTCGTAAGGTCTTGTGCCATAAAGATGTGCAGCGCTATTAACCAGCCAGGTTCCATTGACTTGAAAAAGGTAGCGGAAAAAGTAACACACTAAAAGAGAGTCACCAAAAGACTCCCCGAAACAATGTATCGGCACCCAAACAGGAATAAATAAGGCCATTATAAAGTAGAGCAAAAAGTAGTACCTGAAAAGAAGGAATTGTATAATTATAACATATCCGGAATGTTAACATTTCGCTTATTCGATAATTTTGTAACGAGAACTGTCATTGCTTTATTTAATATTGGCCTAGTGACAAAAATTTTACGTTGCACAATAATGAATAGGCAAGTGGCCTCTATCATTAAATTTCCGTACTTACTGTACTAAATATAAGCTTTTAGGTGGGTTTCAGTAGATATAATTGAAGAAATCCATAAATTGTTTAGATAGGACATCCTGGTAGAGAGCGAGGTAAGGGCAGACGTGCTGCCGCGTCAGCCCTGTCGTTTCAGGCTCATAGAATAGGACTAAGGTATCTCCTGTCTGTCTTAAAAGGCGACTAAAAGGGGACACGGTTTGGCAGCAGCTCGAAGTGGCCTCGAGCTGCTGCAAGATAGCGAGGGAATCGGGGAAGGTTTACCCTTCTTCGACGAGGCGTGCTCACGCCCAGTACCGAGGTACACCGGTGCGTTCCATAAAAGATCCCGGTCCCTCCAAACACACAGAAGGTGGCAAGCGAGGGGGTTTTAGTGGGTCCAAACCTCACATAACCCTGTCATGTAAGATAACAGGGTATCTTTTGAACATTTCCCCCCGATACCACAAAAAAGAGAGCGAGTTAAATAATAATCAACCCGCAATATACGTTCTTCTATGCGGAGGTTATGCATGTAAAAGAGGCAAAAGAGATTTGGAATGATGGTAAAGGGTAGAGATTTGTGCATATTGTCGATGATTGTTGTAGCTTTATCCTTACTTCTTTTGGAACATAACCATCCAGTCGGCCTCGAGATCGCTCATGTCAATCCTCTTGCCTAGCTCGATCACGTAAGGATGTTTCTTCGACATCAACCACCCGACGTGAGAGAAAAAGAAGCCGCGCTTCGAATTATGAGGGTCGGCGTCAGTATCCGAGTAACGGTGGTGCAGGCGATGATCTCGACACCAAATGTACATAGAGTTCTGGACAAAATTAAAAGATATCACACCGATTCTAGTGTTAAATGATTTAGATTATTTAACACTAGAATCGGTGACACTAGACCTTCAATTTATTTTGAATAGTATAATGAAAAAAAAAAAAAAAGAAATAAAAGTTTTTCACCTGGCCCGCTAGAGTTTGAAATAGCAGAAGAATAGCTCGTAGTAAGGGAGTAGCCGAATAGGTTTTGTGGGCGAACAGTCTGTGTGCGCCCATAAGGATTCCTTGTGAACTTAAAAGAATTAGACTAATGGCTGAAAAAAATTAAATTAGAATGAAAACGAAATATTAGGTCTGTGTGCGCTCATATAAAATGACTACGAAACATTTTAAATTATATAAAAAAGAAGTGTTTTAGTTCTTACTCCATATAACAGTTTTAAGAGACACACATCCTGAAATAAGTTTGCAGAAACCCCACAAAGCTAACAAATGCAGGATCAAGAATCCTATCGCATTTTTCCACACGATTTTGTGCTTATAATTGTAATCCGTGCCAATTACCCTGGCGGGTACATATGAATCTTTCATTACAATCGAATCAAAATTATTTTGATTCTCAGTTCCATCGCTTTTCATCGAAGTGAAATTCTTCGCAGTCATGTTCTCAGACAGTGAAACTTTATAACAATGTTTCAGATGACTGTTTACGAGATACTTATAAAGATTTTTCTGTATCCATTGTCTATGAATAATTCTTTCAATTGTGTTCTATTGCGTTAAGCAATGAAGGGATCTTGAACTGCGGGTGGCATTAATTAACAAATTAAAAATCGTCTGCAGCATTCATTTGAAGTAAAGATTTACTCGTTTGTTTTAATTTAATTGCTATACATATTCATTTCTAGCATTTACTAAACTTTCGTGTATCTGTAAACTATACAAGGTTAAATGAAACTAATTTACGCATTTTCTCGCATTTTATTTTAATTTTCAATTTACTACAATACGAGTCTGTCCCGTGACCATGAGCGCTCTAATGAGTTCGAAACGCTGGGAAATTAAAATCAAAATAAAACGTGATAAATTCCTTGAAATATTTTCATTTAATTTCTATACGATCTTCTATTCAGATATTTATTTTATCGTAAAAGCTTACACGTTATCTTTCTTTAGCTGATATGTAGTCGATATAGTATGAGATATACCTACTGATATGTTGGAATTATATAGTTTTTAGGACAGTCTCTCTTTTAGATTTACACTTTATTGGTAAACTAGCTGACTCGGCAAATGTTGTTTTGCCATATAAATTATTTCTAGGGAATTTGGAAGTGTTTGACAGACATAGTTGACAGATTGACATCTACAGTTTGTATGGGAAAATAAAATTGTTGCTATTTCGGTTTTCCATGCACCTTCTCTGGACTGCCACAAATATTTCAAAACCAAAATTATCCAAATCGGTCCAGCAGTTCTCGAGTTTTAGCGAGACTAACGAACTGCAATCCATTTTTATATTTATAAGATTCTTTTTTAATTTAATTGATTAAATAAAAATGGAATCAATTAATTTACAAATCCTTTTAAATTATCTTTTATTATTCTATTAATAAATAAAGTGAATAACACATCAAATATTTCAGTTTTAATTCAGCATTAAGTAAACACTGATCACTCATACAATACAAAAATAAATAAACATAAACCAGTAACCTCAATCACCAGGCGAACTTAAAAATATAAAAAATATATTTCTATTTGAATGCGTGCATCAGCACATTATGCTGAGTGGGTCAATCACTAGGCAAGTGCTTCATACACAATTCTAGATTTTATCTATCCTCCTAAAACGTTAACAGTTCTAAGTAGTCAGTATTTAAGAGATGGCCAGCGACATCGAGAGCGACAACTGATGCGCTGGGAAGATGAGCGGAAACTTACTGCGGACCCAAATGGAGGAGAATTCCTCAAGACAGTAAGCATTGGAAACAACTAAAGGAGGACTTTGCCAAAGGTACACTGAGTTGACGGACACCCTATAGCCAAACGAACCAAACAATACAGCCATAAAGATTAAATCTCTCACCCAGTTTAACGGACTAAATAAATAGGTACCATTGCAAATTACTTATAGATATCAAAATATTAAACTTAGTTTGTTTCTACAAAAAAGAAAGGTTTAAATGTATAATTCTCTTAATAGTTTCAACAGTTATAGCGAGCAAGTGCGCAACGCAATTTGTAATATTAATCGCCCACGTGCGTTCACCGAAATCAAACTTCAATTTTAATTAAATTTTCAGCTTGTACCTCATTCATTATCAAGAAACCGTTCCCTGCAGCTGGACAACAATGAATATAACATAGTTTTTTTCGATATACGAATGCTAAAGTATAAAATGAAACGGATCCTGCTTCTATTTGTTTTGATTTTCACTTATGTAATTTTGTCATCGACGTTACATTGAATTATTATTTTATGAATATGTATTAAATTTAATGTTTCGTTTTCTTTTTACATTAGACGGCAGCGGAAAATATTAATTATTCGTGCGGTAAGAGATTGTCTTTTTATTCTTTAGTTATTGAAGCAAAACAGGAAAATACAATCGTTTTTAAACATTTCTAACTAATTTTAACGAACAATATTCGATGGTTAGTGGCTTTCGATGAAATTTGGTTAAAGATACGTTTATCACAACACCCGTGGATTTGTGTCGATGGAACATTTGCCACGTTTACCAAACCAGTAGCAGATGCGTAAACACTTCTTCTTTTCGTCAGTTCTCTGGGAGGCTCTGGTACTTTTTCGGAGGAGCTTCTCCATCTGCGCAAACGTAATTGTGCTGAGTTATATCCCCCAAACATATTAACAATGAACATGTTAATCTTCGTACAATTGGCTGGTTCAATTCTAAGAGAATCATACTCTCGTTGCCACGGGTAAAGGAGATTTATAACGATTTTTAGAGTGCGGCGTAGGGGGCCAGAACAGGCGCATAGTCGGCGGTACCGCCGTGGAGCCGCACCAATACCCATGGCTGGTATCGCTGATGCTAGGCCAAAAGCTGCACTGCGGTGGGGCGATAATCACGGACCTGCATGTTCTCACCGCTGGGCATTGCATCACGTTTGGGTACGTCCCTTCACTCGGCCCGTCTTTAACCCATTAATTACTACTCCCAAAAGAATTTCGTTTTGTGTTAACTACTTACTTATTACATTTAATAGAGCATAATTATGCAGAATTTAATTCTGAATCTGGTACGTACTTGTGACCTTATTATACCACTCTTAACGGGGTAAACAAACAATGTTTGAATTGATATTTTTCTGGTTATTTATTGTCAAAATAAAATATTCATATTTTTATTTTGAATTATGGAATGCTCAAGTCGCGAGTTACATGATACATTATCTTCTGGAAATATCAATTAAGGAAATATCAATCATCAGTCTGTAAAATTCTCTTTTTTATGTGAAAAGTTGGCAAGCTAGCAGGCGGGGCACCAGATGTGATTAACACCTGACGGATTGCAGACGCATTGGAAACCATTAAGAAAGCGGGCCCCGGCTACGTCACTCACATATATTTTCTCTGTGTTTGTTAATTTTCGTCTGTTTTCAGTGTTCATTTTCGAGATTTGACAGTCAACGTGGGGATGCATGATCGTTTGCAATCTTCTTATTCGGTCTATCGCATAGAGAACGGAGAAAAACATCCTAACTTCAAGTCAAATGCAGTCAGGGACATAAACGATATAGCAGTCTTGACGCTCGATCGACGTTTAAAATTTACCGATAAGGTAAAACCGATATGCTTGCCTACCGAAGGTAATTCAAATTTCATTGTATTTTAATTCATTTGATGCGTGTGTATTTTTTATTGTTATTTACCTCTATTTGTCGCTGTTCATAAAGTAAATTATGTAAAGACAAAACGTATAAAAAGCATGTCGGCAAACCCGTCAATTTGTCTCATCTGAAGTTCATTTTTTTATGAGAGAAGGTGACAGCATGCTGGCGGTTCACCTGATGTTAAGTGATAACTGCCGTCCATGGACATTTACACCACCCGTTGCAGAAGCGTTGCCACCTTTTTATAAGGTGGGTTCACTCAGTGGGTTCACTCACCAGACGAAAGGCAAAAGTATAATACTGCTTTACGCCGGTCTTCTGTGAGGTAGTGCTACTTTCCCGGACGGACCTGCCCATTCTTGGTACAGCGAAGACTGTTGCGTGGCCTTACCCGAGATAGATTAAGAATTGGACAACCAAAACCAAAACTTAACACCTTTGTCCTGTTTATTACCAGCAGCACGTAAAAATTTCTATTTTTGCCCCGATATACTGAGACCCATTATGTTAGTATAGTTGTTCGTAATCTCACGCTGTTTAATTCATGGACGCAATATACGATCGCCTGGATCATTCAGACATCTAGTAGATGTAGAAACATGATAGATGTTTCTAGAATTCAATCCAATACTACAACGACCTCACATTCCAGGCACTTTGACATTTTGTCACCAATGTCGACTCGGTGTAATGGTTGATCAATTATAAGTGCTCAATTATAAGATGCTATTAATTATTAATTCAGATATGGATTTCACCGACCTACCACTCACTGTGGCCGGATGGGGTAAAACAAGGCAAGGAGCTTTGACATCTTCACGATATTTGCAAGAAACAAAAGTAAAAATGGTCAACTCTGATGAATGCACTAAATCAACGATTTACAAAGACAATCTAGTGCCTGATGGTATGATGTGTGCTTACAATCTTGGAAAAGACGCCTGTCAGGTAATGCCTAAATTTGATAATTCGTTTTATTTGGTCTCAGGACGACATGCTTTGCTAACAATGCATTACTTAATTTAATTAACTTCCTGTGCTGACGCCGATGGTTTAGCAACTGTCGCATTTTATATTATTATTTTATATATAGAAGCTTCTAAATTTTCAAACCTGATCTATGCTAATTTTGTCTAACATGCCTTTGAACGTATTTGATATTTATTAACGATTTTAGGGAGATAGTGGTGGTCCTTTGTTTTCGACACACTCGAAAACGCAAAACACAAAATGGTATCAAGTTGGTAAGTATTGAATTAATTCAAAAAATTAGAACTAATCATCAACAATGACGACCTAAAAAAATCTTTCCAGGAATCGTATCTTGGGGTATAGATTGTGCTATGCCCGGGTATCCAGGTAAATAACACGTTCCCTTGTTTTCTTGCTTACCATAAAATATTAATTAATGAGTC